GTTTATTTATAATCGTTATAAAGTTGAACTGCTGAAACTTGTTCACTGAAACTTTTGACTTGCATTAATGCTTTGTCCCCCGCATTTATATTAAAAATTCACACACAAATGAAAATGGAAAAACTGCCAATACCTGATTTCTGTCCCCTATTTTCCCACTTGCAATCATATACTTAGGTACCTTTTGACCCCATGGAAAAAAAAAATAACTAACATTCAGAACTACCAATAACAGGAAGAAGAGAAATTTTTTTTTTTTTTTTTTAAAGAATGAAATGTTTCCCATCATAGTGGATTCTTAAGCACGTTCTCCACGTATGCGGCGTGCTAGCTGGATGTCTTTTGGCATAATTGTTACACGTTTGGCATGGATAGCACACAGGTTGGTATCTTCAAAAAGGCCAACCAGATAGGCCTCACTTGCCTCCTACAACAGGAATAAAGAAAAAATATTAATGGTATCAACAGTTAAGATACATCTGTATCAGTTAAAATAAGCAATGTTTTTGGATGCTTAAAAAATCCTACTGCATTAAAACATTTACTATTTTATCAAGTGCTTACATTTTAAAACCTGTAAGACAAAGCTAAAAGGCAGCTTATGAAAAGTTGCAAAGCTCAAGTATGTAAATCTTTATCAAATTACACAAATCAAATGATTTCATTACTAAGAAAGTTTAATATTTCTAATGTTAATATGTGATTTCTAGTAAACTGAAATGTGTTTTGAGGAAAGCAAGAAATCCAATTTAAACTGTAATATTCTCATCCTTATAAAGATAAATGGAATCATATATCCAATCCAAAGTACTACTCCCTGGTCCCCTCAGTGTCTCCTTCTTCTGAATCCACTTACTCCAAGGTATCTGTCTGAACCCTGTTTTGCCAAATGCAACATAGGTGACAACTGGTTTCCAGCTTACGGTCCTCGTACAACTTTTCACACCCATTTTATCACAAGAGTATCATAGGGTCCAGAACGCACCAGATTAGTGTCTTTTTTACATACTTTGACCTAGTTTGCCTATGAGATATGCACCCCCCCCCTNGGCTGCTGTCGAGGCCGGGTTGGCGCGGCAGACTTTTCACCCCCTATTTCCCAAAACTGGACAGTGACCCTCAGGAGTCCGTCCTTAGTCAGCGACGCTTTGGATACTAAGAGCCACAAATCGCCTGGGACGCACAGGAAGAGCCAGATAGATGCGCAGCCATCTACTGACCAGTCTGGGGTGGAGCCAGCGTGGTCGTCTTGGCTCAGCTGGCAGTAAAGCCACCGTGTTCTTATACGGCGCCAGGCCCCACAGGCCCCTCACCCGGCTAGGCCCGTGCCGGCAGTGCCTTGAGGACCCTCGAGGCTGGTGGCAGAAACCCTGGCCACCTCTCTTCCCACTCCACCTCCATCCCCCCTTCACTCGGAACCAGAACTGCTTGTTTCAGGTCCAAAAGTGATGATGATAACCGAATAAAATCCACCGTGAATTGGGCACTCACTGTGTGTGTTTGGCTCCGTGCTAGGCATTTTTCGTGCGTTCTCTTACCACTTCCGTCATTTTTGCCCTACTGGCGCCGCCTGTACTATTATTTACTCATTAAAATCTTTCATCCACTCAAAATTTAAAGGTGGTACTGAAATCACAGGTGTTTGATGTACAATGTTTACTAATTTATATACAATATACTGTATGTATCTTTAAAATGGTCACTCATAAGCCACATGCAATCACTCAGGTTCCATCAGTGCTTCCTGTTTTTTAGACTGGTAAACTGAGGCTTAGCGAGGGTAAGTGTCCTGCCCATAGTTCTGCCTCAAACCAGACATTGGTAATGACAGAAAGATGCAACCCATAGGGGTCCGAACAGGATGATTCCTGCAAAGTGGAACCACAGACATATGATGTGCCCAAGACCCTGGGGCTGGGGCAGGGATGGGAAGGTGGGGATGCCCTGAGCCTCAGTTCTTCCTGCCATCTTATNCATCCTATCTGTGTTCTGGCCCATGAAAAAGGGATAGTTTAGAAAAGCCCAGGCCCAATGTTTTATGGCCAAGCCTGAGAAGTTGTATTCATCTCTCCACTCACATTCCATTGTCTGGAATTAAGACAAATGGATACAGCTAGCTGCAAGGAATGCTGGGAAATGTGGTCTCTAGCTGGAGCAACATGTACTAATCCAAAAACTCAATTACTGTAGAGGAAGCGAAGATATTTGGAGGCATAACTAACAAGTTACCACATTCTCTTTTCTGGCTTTAGTTTTCCCAAAGCTGGTGTCGTTGAGATTATGCTGGGTGCTCCAGGGAGTGGGGAGGGGTGAGAATCAGTAAGACCCAGAAGAGAGAGTCTGGGAAAGGAAGAGGGGTCCTGTTCCATTTATCTATTGCTGCATAACAAAACACCCCCAAACTTAGTATTAAACAGTGGCATCAATTATTTTATTCACATCTGCTATTTGGGTTGTGTATGGTGGGGACAGCTTGTCTCTGCTCTGTTCAGCATCAGCTTGGGCCTGGGATCAGTGGCTGGAATCACTGAGGGTTCGCTCACATGTCTGGTTGATGCTGGTTGCTGGCTGGCACCTCAGCGGGACCTCTGGCCAAAACATTTACACATGGCCTTTCTGTGTGGCTGCTTGGCTTTCACAGCATGGGGCTTGGGTTCCAAGAGCAAGCATGCCAAGAAAGGGAGCCAAGCAGAAGCTTACTGCCTTTTCTAATCTAGCCTCAAAAGTCACGCAACATCTCCTCTGCCACATTCTATTCACTAGAAGCAAGTCACCAAGGCTGGCCCAGGTTCAAGGGAAGGGGAATGAGACTCCACTTTTTGACGGGTGAAGCGTCAAAGAATTTGTGGACATGTTTCAAAACTACCACGGGTCCTGTGGGGCCTACTTGTTGTCAATGCCTGGGAAGGGGGCAGTATTTCAGAGGGCTGGCTGCTTATAACACCAGGGAAGACAGCTCCTAGAGATGGAAGACCCAGCCTTATCCAAGAACCCCAACTTCATAAGTGGCATGGCAGCAGCAGAGCCTCCAGGCCTAGAGGGACCATGTGGGCTGGTGTCCTGGGAGTCCTAGCTGTTACCACCATGGACCTATGCCCAAAGATTGGATACCATATGATGCCTGGGTCCTGCATATGACCCTGCAACCCTGAGACCCTGGGAGGTATATTTGTTAGGATGCTTTCTGTTTCAAGTAACAGCAAATCCAATTTAAACTGATTAAAAAAACAAAGGGACCCACTTCTAGGTAGTTACTCTAGAGAAATGAAAACGTATATTCACACAAAAGCCTTACATGCATTTTATAGCAACTTTAATAAGTCATCACAAACTGGAAACAAATGTTCTTCAGCGAGTGAATAGATAAACAAACTGTAGTTCATCCAGACCATGAATGCTGCTCAGCAAAAGGAACAAACTGTGATCCACGCCACATGGACAGATCTCAAAGGCATTGTGCCAAGTGAAAGAAGCTAGTGTCAGAAGTTACATGCTGTTTGAGTCCTCTTATGGCATACATGGCAAATCTATAGGGATGGAGGACAAATTAGTGGCTGCCAGGGGTTAGAGGTTGGGAAGAGTTCAACTCCAAAGGGGGATCATAAGGGAATTTTGGGAGGCGATAGAGCTGTTCTGTATCCTGATTATGGTGATGGTTACATGCATCTGTGCATGTTAACACTCTCATAAATGTACACACACACACCTGGGGAAAAAGGCCAATTTTACTGTATGTAAATTTAAAAAAATAAAACAAAATTATACTTTCAACACATGGTGCTGAGAGCACTGGACATCCACATGCAAAAAAGTGAATGGAGACACACAGGCCCTTCACCAACATTAACTCTAAATGGATCACAGNCTGATGACTTGCTGACAACATAATTTCTGGTATTAAAATGGCGCCCACGTGAATACAAAGCAGTTGGGTCCAATCGCAGCCCCAGTCGGCACCAGGAAGACATCCAGGGCAGGAACCTGGACTGGGTGCCTCCCGTCCTGGTGCAGCCACTCATGACATTCCATTCATCCACGACAACCTCTGGAGAGCCAGGGATGACTGGCACTGTGTTTCTATGTCTGAGAGGACGGTGGCTCCTGAGGTCAATGGCCAAGGTCACACAGTCAGCGCTCGGGTTGCTTGTGCATGGGCTCCCTGACCCGGAAGCCCACGTTTCTTTTCAGCTGGCCCGGCAGGGTCCGGGATGGGAGGCCAGGGCCTCAGGGCGGTCTGGGGAGGCAGGACCCAGTGCCTGGCAGCTGAGAAGCCTTCATAGAAGTGTCTTTATGGGTTGTGGTCAAATGTTTTTGTCAGTGTTTGAGCATCTTGACATGCTGAGGGTCACTCTGCTGATGGCCAGGTCTTGAGGCTCGTGACCGCCGGAGGATGAGGAGGGAAATGGCCAAGTGTAAGGTTCGGCTGCATAGAAGACTCTGGGGGATGAAACAGGTTTTCCAGGAGCTGAAATCAGCCTCATTTCTTTATATTTCTGTGACAGTTTACTGACTGCAGGACAGATCTGGGAAGCGGTAGGTCACAGACCTCTTCCTCTGTATGTGTGGCGGCAGCTGTGGGTGGAGGGGTCGGAAGGTTGAGGTTTTGCCGCTTCCTCAAGTCCTGTCAGTCTGCTCTCTGCAGACAGGGGCCTTCTTCAGCTGAACTGCACAGCTGAACTGACTACAGTAGTTTCTAGAAGCAGTGCTTCCTCTGGCTACCCTCCAGAGAGGTCCTGTTGCGTGACGTCAAAAAAGAGAATGCTGTCCCTTCCAGGAGCCCAGGAAAGGGCAACTTTATGGATTTAGGAACCTGGGCCACACGCAACCTGAGAAGGGTCACCATTTCTTTAAGCAGCCACCATGTTGAGAAACTATTCTAGACATTTTACATCTATTTTTTTACAACTTTATTGAATCATAATTTACATGTTGTATGTAGTTCACACATTTCCAGTATATAATTTGATGGATTTTTAGCGAATTTACCAAGTTGTGCAACCATCACCATAAATCAGTTTTAAAACATTTCCATCACCTTAATAAGATCCCTCATGCCCACTCACTGTTAATTCCTGTCCCTTCCCTGCCCCAGGCAACCACAAATCTATTTTTTGTCTCTTTATAGATGTGTCTTTTCTGGACATTTCATATAAATGGAATCATACAATATGCAGTCTCTTGTGCCTGACTTCTTTCACTTTGCATAATGTTTTCAAGGCTCATCCAAGGTATAGCATGTATCAGTACTTCATTCCTTTCTATTTCTGAATAGTATCCATCGTGTGGACATACCACATTCTGTCTATCCATTCACCAGTTGATGGAGATCTAGTCTGTTTTCCATTTTTGGCTATCATATTTCATCAGTTCTAAAAAGTACTTATTTTTTTTCCATATTTTCATGTTTCTGAAACCAGTATGCATCTTATAATCGATGACTTGTCAGACCTTATTTGGCAGCACTTTCCCCTTTCTTGGTGGTATGTAAATATTAGTATATTTTATAATTATGGGCATCTTAAACTTGATGAGATATGGTATTAAGTAGTTGACCTTAGCAGCCTCTCTCTTTTTTTTTTTTTTAAGGTTTTATTGGGGAATTGGGGGATGGGAACAGTGCTGGGGAATTGGGGGAGGAGAACAGACAAGTTGCTGTCCTTTTGTTCTTCATTCTAGTTGTGGAGGACGTTGCTTCACTGGCCCATGTGGGTATTATCATTGTGCTCTTCCCAGGTGAGGCAGATCAGTCGCCGGCCTCTGGACGGCCGCTCACAGCGGCTCTTGGTAGCTCACACGGGCTGCCGGCTGNGGATGCCCACTCCTGGAATTCACCAATCAAATGAAGTTCAGACTAACCATAGAAACAGCTCAACCAATTACACTTCAGTATAGAATCCACCTATCAAATCCTTTTCACTTATAAAGCAAAAGCTTGGCACAGCAACAGCAACCTTGAAAATCACCCAATGGAGTGTATGCAGATTCTAGACCCTCCCCACAAAGAGATTCTGATTCAGGTCTGTGGCGGTGCCCAGCAATCTGCATTTTAATCACCACCAACCCCAAGCTCTAATGAAAGTAGTTTTACCATATTTTGAGATACACTGATCCAAACAGTCAATATAAAATAGGTTATTTAAGTGATTGATGTCAATTATTTCCACATATCTAATCAAACTATCTTACCTGTAAGGCACTTCAAGTTTTAATCTTGACATAAACCACAAACATTTCAACTATATAACCATCCCTAAAATAGTATTCCTCAAAGTTCTGACACCCTGAAGTCAAGAATAAATTCAAAATGCTTCCATTTAAAGTGGAAATCCCTAACCCCCTTTAGCAAAGGACAAGTCTTCAAATGCTGGCATCATCTTTAAGCACAGCTTTTCTCCCAATTGCCAATCCAATCCTAACTACCACTCCCTGCTTTTTCTACCTCATCACACAATTCTTTAATGTTGCCTCTTCCTATCCTAGCCATTATGCTCTCCACTTGCATCTGCCTCTTCAGTTCCAGGAAGACATTTATTTTTAACATTCCATTTACATCAGTCACTGTTTGAATCTGATTACCAGTATAGACCTTTAGTCTCATGTCTTCTTAATGTCCTGCAGCACTCATAAGCCAAACCGGAGAGTGCCTTTCTCCCTTAAACTTTGATTTTAGTGCAATGCTTAAAATTTCTGTACGGTATAATGGAATGCACACTAGGCTTTGGAGTCAAATGGGTTCAAATTATGATTCTGTGATCCAAATGGGTTCAAATTACATATTCTGTGTGTATGACCTTGGGCAACCTAACCTTTCTGACATCTTGACAGTGAAATAAAGACATCACCTACCTCGAAGGCTTGTGATTAAATTATATAAGCATATCAAAGATTTAGAATTGTTCTCCGTACATAGCAGGACCCCTAACTCTAGAGCCTTCCCCACACGCCATTTTACCTGCAAAGCACCAATAGCTGCACTCTGGAAGCGCAGATCTGTTTTGAAGTCCTGAGCAATTTCTCGCACCAGACGCTGGAAGGGAAGTTTG